AAACTTAAAAATGTTGGAGATAATATATAAAGTGGGTACATTAGGTAAGAGATAAATAGCGCTAATAGCTGCTATTTAGCATATCAAATGTTGTATGAACTTAAATCCATTTAGTGCGAATACAAGTTATTATTACTTGCGCAATTGCTGCAAAGTTAGTTAATAATAATTTATTTCCTAAACAGTATTGATTAATTGATTATATTATCTCCTAAGTTTAATTAAAGTAGAATTATTTTAAAAGTGTGCATCCATACTGGTAAGTTATATTTTGAAAGATGTTTTGAAGTAATTTGAAAGCAAAATGTTAATAATGTTTTAACGGGGACTGGAGTTAAATCATCATGAAGAATAATATTACAATTGTAAAAGTAAAAATTAAAACATGTAATTATTCAGTCCCCGTTAAAACATTATTAACATTTTGCTTTCAAATTACTTCAAAACATCTTTCAAAATATAACTTACCAGTATGGATGCACACTTTTAAAATAATTCTAATTTAATTAAACTTAGGAGATAATATAATCAATTAATCAATACTGTTTAGGAAATAAATTATTATATATATATATATATACACACACACACACGTGTGTGTGTGTGTGTGAGATAAAAATATATAAGAAACTCAAAACTACTAACTTTAATTTGGCTACGTCCTCTTCCATCCTCAGCCAGTTTTAAAAATACTATTAATCGAATCTGAAGTGTGTCGTCTGAAAATTAATTCATTTCGTGTTTATGTAATCATGCTGCAATGCGGCAAATTCTCAGCCAATCAGATTAAAGAAATTTTCATCTATAAATACGATTGCTATCATTGCGTAATTACCATTTTTCTCTACTTCGCTCCCTGCTACTTACACGTGTTTGTTTGTCGCTCTGCTGTGTCCCTATTGTTGAAGAATTGAGAGGTTCATATCGCACTCGTAATAATATGTGAATCAATATTGTATCTCTGAAAGTAATTTATCGAGAAATAAAATGATGTGTTCAAAGGTCACGCTTGTCTTCAAAGTGTCATTTGTTTATTTATGCAGCAGTTTAATTCGAATCCTCAAGTCATTATCTACACCGAAATATCACAATATGAATAGTCGACAGGATAGTTACCTGCTGTCTCAGATCCCAATGGATTTCAAGTCCATGAAGTGGATTTATTTCAATTACTAACTTTCAGTTAACTTAACTGTCTTCACTTTAATGTAATGTTAGATTAATATGTTATAAATACTATTTCCAGAAAAGAAAGAGAAGTACCCAAATTAAAATGAAGAATAAAAGGGACTATCGCCAATTAAAATTAGAAGTTTGTTTTTACATAATTTTAGTTTGCTCTCATACATAAGTATATTATTATGATTCATTTGCTTTATTTTTGTTTTGTTTTAGGATTAACGTCAATTGCCAAAATATGAGCGGATTAGCAAATAAAATACATAGCTCGGAACAGTGATATCAAACAGCCTGTCCGCGGATCGCATGCGGCCCCCATAATACTTAAGCAATTTTAAGAGGTCCGCGAATTCATTTGCAGTAAGTTAGTTACATTATAATGGCATTTAAGGACCTTTGAAGAAAGGTTTAAGATTTTAATGATTTTAAGTGCAATTTTACATTGTTTTAATTGCCATTAGAAATAACAACCACCCAGAAAAAGACGTAACAGCCCAGAAAATCTACAAACAGAGCTAATTAATTTACACTGTGATATCTTATTCAAAGATTTGAAGATGCAGATCTGATTAACGTTTCTTTAAACTTATCAAATGATAAATGTCCTCTATTACAAATTTTTGCAATGAGAATAATTGCTTTGACTGCGAAAGTGATTATAAATGAACAGTGATTTAAATGAACATTTTATGTGAACATTTATAGGTGAACAGTTTCTCCACAGTCGAAAATTAATAAGTCTGCGTGTGTAGGGAGGGGATCCATATTCAGCAACAACCCAGAAACAGGCGTAACAACCCAGAAAATCTACAAACAGAGCTAATTAATTTATACTGTGATATCTTATTCAAAGATTTGAAGATACAGATTTGATTAACGTTTCTTCAAACTTATCAAATGATAAATGTCCTCTATTACGAATTTTTGCAATGAGAATAATTGCTTTGACTGGGAAAGTGATTATAAATGAACAGTTTTTCATTGTAAATGAACAGTGATTTAAATGAACAGTTTATGTGAACATTTATAAGTGAAAAGTATTTCTCCACAGTCGAAAATTAATAAGTCTGTGTGGGAGGGGGGGACTCACATTCAGCAACGAACGTTTGCAATTCGTGGTAAGGATTCATAATTTCTAGTAATTTATTCCCGCGGATAAATTACTGTAGCTAAGTAATTTATCTGCGGGGATAAAGATGATGTAACTCAGCGTTATAATAAGAAATAAAAGAATTTTATTTACATACAAATATGTATAAGTTTTCTGTATGCTTCAATGAGAAGCTTGAAAGATATTAGTTTATCATTTGTTTTTTCGAATGGCGGACACTTGCCTTTTTTTTAGTATTGGTTTCTTCTAAGGCCAGAAGCGGTGGCCATTTTATTGTAGGGGCACCTAATAGTCGGCCGATGTTGCCTCCTATGAGAGAACAGACACTTTACCGGTATTCGAACCCAGGCTCTTCGGTATCGCAGTCGGCTCCTCTAACCACTGTTACTGTCTGGGTTGTGGTTGTCATTACTTATTCTCAAACACAGTTAAATTTGAGAACAAATCAAATAAATAAAGGTTGTCATTATTTATTCTCAAATTTTGTCCCACTTGGAAAAATTTTCGTATTTTGTTAAGTTATTAGTAAGTTATTTATGTAGTGGTTAGGATATTAGAATTACTTCAAATAAATGACAGTCGAAAATACAATATTTATATATCAAGACGCTTGAGTTATAACGCGTAACTATAAGAAATTTCTAGCATATAACAACATTTAGATTTGAGACAGAAAATATAATATAGATTGAATTTTTTTCTTTGCATCATTCTTATTACATTATTCTTATTACATTCTTATTACATTTGCCATGTAACAAACTAAATAAAAGTTCCGTAATTTGAAAGTTTAATTGATAATACAGTAAATTAAAAAATCATTTAAATTACTATCAACTAAATAAAAAAGTTTATCAATGGTAAAATTCACGAAAGGGCGTAATTAAACTAAACAGAAACATCAGAGACACAGCCTGAAACAACAAACTCACCAAATCAGACGTACACTCCAATAATCTTTAATGTAATTTATATATTCCACTGATAAGTGTAATGAAGATTATGTAAGAAATACAACAGTCAAAACGCACATTTAGCAGCTGCAATCTGAACTTCAAAAATTCAAAACACGTACAGAATTCAAAAATTCAAAACAAATAAAGTACCAGATTGATACGAATACATTGAAGATGCATTCTATATAATGAACACTGGATTACAATGGATTATTGGACATGATTAATATTCATGTAGAATAAGAATTTTAAATATTACATTTTTCACTCGGTCATTTCACAAAAATTTCCGTTCCCCCCTTTCAGAAAAAGGTTCCACCCGTTACCTTGGGCCATGTTTATAGATACTAATAGATACTGCCTTACTTTTGCGTTAACATCTACTCTGTATTATTTGTATTATTTAATTGCTACTCTGTATTATCTGATTTGAGTTTGGCCGCAAGAAACGGTCCTATTTATTTACAACTGCAGCAAAACTTAATAACCAAAGTTGACCATTCACTGTTCCAAACACTTTTCTGTGGAGATGGTCATCCCAAAGACCACAATTATCGGAATAATACGAAAGACATATCAAATGAAACTGACTGTAATAAAATACAATTTAATTTATGTAAATTTTATTTTAGCCCAGTCAAGCAATATCTATGTCAAATCAATTGTTGTGTTTTCTGGCACTCACTCCAATATGACGTTTATTAAAGTTTTCTGAAAACTTTATATTTTCAAAAATATCTTCTAGAGGAGTTGGTCGTCATGGGAGGTTCCATTGTGCAACACAAAATGGAACTGTAATGAAAACTACTCAAGCATTTCTTCATTCTTTTTTAATTTTCCATTCTTCTTTTAATAAAAATTAATACGTATAAAGTTTTCTGGAACTCAGTTTTCTAAGTGCTACGGCTAAGACATTAAATTTTTTTTTGTCACTACAACTTTATTAAAGAAATTTGTACAAATTTGTAAACATCACTTTTTCAAAAATCTGCAAAAAGCACAAATAAACTGATCAAGTTAACATAAAATTTTCATATTACAGAAATTTGTATAAATTTGTATACAGCACGTTTTCAAAATCATCAAAACGCGCAAATAAACTAATCAAATTAACATGAAATTTTCCTAGTAACAAATGCGCTGCTATTATGATGTTTTTATTAATATTAATTATTTTATACGGAAATCTTCAAAATACGTACGGTCGCTTTTGCTTGAAACTCAATTCCTCTTGAAAAGTTTTTAAATTAACGACACACGAATGACATCAGTCCAACGAATCATTCCGTCATAAATCACGAAATTTCTCAATTCTCAGAAACACATTAATATCTTTCGGGCAAGTTTAACGTTGCTCCCCCCTCTCTCCCGCCGCCGATCATAACTCAGAAAATCAGCATCTGTTGACTGAATTTTATTCTTAATGTTATTAAGCGTTCCACTAATAAATTAGGATTCAATAGCAAAAGTACTCTTTTTTTTTTTTTTTTCATGCTTTAAAGCCGTAAAAAACTCAAGAATTATTGGAAAACTAAAATCAAAACAAAAAAAAATATTTCGCAATCCCCCGCCTCGCCAAAATCTAACCAACCATATTCTGTTTCCTCACTAAGTTTTTGTTTTTTGGCACTTGTCTTCTAAAATGCTATTGCAACCCTTGTGCGCTGGCCGATGGGTTGGGGGAAGTTACCGTTTCGCCATCTACAGAAGAGACAGAATACGTAAGGCGAGAGATAGTACGAAGATAGAGAGGAGAACTTTGGAACTTCGTCAACTAAAAGGGGAAAAAAAGGATGGACAGATAGAAACTTAGCACTCGCATCCAGTTCACTTTTAAAGTATCACCCCATACGGGCGGCGTGTTGGTGGGTCACGTTTCCACCCATGCGCTCGACGGCCTGACGTTTTAATCTCTCGTACGGTAGCACGGATTGTTATTGAAATGAAGTGCCGCAAAATAAATGTTCGTGATTGCAGTTGGTGAACTAGTAACATTAATTGCCCTTTAGTTTCGGATTATGAACAATTGCCTGGATTAATAATTCTCCACAAATGGACTTCACTTTCGATTTTATCCAGTTAGCGATTAATTGGGAAAAAGTTTCACGTCCCTTCTGAAACATCAAATTCTACGCATGGTGAAATTTTCAGATCGTTAGTATCTTCAATCGAATGCCTTGTGCTCAGAAATTGTCGCTTTGGATATTTAAGGAACTTTCATACGAATCGGTCTAAACGATGAAACTCGATCATCACATACAATACAAGCCTGATACACTAAACAGTAAAGATAAAGAGACTGATTACGAAATAGCTTCAAATCTTGGCATCCAAAACTACATGCTGCACATGGAAAACGGAGAAAGATTGCAGCAGTCTTGCTCAGAGGCTACATCTCTAAATAGGAGAATGAATGTGGATCGGACATTTAACAGTGTTTACTTGCGCCCATCTTCATCACTCTGTTACCAAAACGAACAACTTATGGATAGTATAAACGATAAGTATGCTTCGTCCTCCTACAGGCAAGCAGATTTATTAAATAATCGGCAAGGAGATCTGTTGAATAATCGGCAAGCAGATTTGTTAAATAAATCATTAAGGAATGAAACTGGAGAATCTGCAGTATTTCCCAGAATAAAAGATGAAAAATACACAAATATAAATCAAAATAATGAGTCCATTCATAATTCATCTACTGAAGACATAAACCCATGCACTTCAAAAAATGAAGTGGTAAATGATGATGTAAATACAAGTGACAATCTGACAACAGCTGTAGTCAAAGCAGAAGATAACACTGAAACTAAAGAGACTGTGAATCCTAAAAAGTCAGGAGCAGGTATGAGAAAACCAGAAAAACCACCGTTCTCATACATAGCTTTAATAGTAATGGCTATTCAGAGTTCTCCAACTAAGAAACTCACTCTCAGTGAAATTTATCAGTTTCTTCAGCAAAGATTTTCATTTTTTAGAGGTGAATATATGGGTTGGAAAAATTCTGTACGCCATAATCTCTCTTTGAATGATTGTTTCATTAAGCTTCCAAAAGGTCTAGGAAGGCCTGGCAAAGGTCATTATTGGACTGTTGACCCAGCAAGTGTGACAGTGTTCCAAGATGGATCTTCAAAACGAAGACCTCGAGGTTTCAGAAGGAAGTGCCAAGACATGCAGAGATATTCCATGTATTATCAAGGTATACCTACACCTCCCATGATGGGTTTCGACATGATGAACCAGACTAATATGCCAGGCGGAGGAATTCCGGAAAGTTCTCTTGCAAACTTGCTTCAGCCTTACCAAGCAGAACATGATGATTTACTTGAAAAACGCAATGCTAAAATACATGTAAGAAGAAAATGTGGTGTTTCTTTCCATCCTTACTACTACCAGAATTCTCCATTTTCCAGTGCAATGATGGGCTACGAAGGAATGAATCAACAAAATCCTAATGTTCCACCTGTTTCATTGGGTTCAAATAATTCTACCGTGCAAGGATTACAGTCTTATCTTACACCCGAGCAGATGATGATGTCCAGTATAAACGCTACACCAGCCCACTACAGTTATGCGATGACCAGCAGTAGTCCTGCTTTAAACTTTAGTGTCGCTGGTATGAATGGCGGTCATTACCTAACAAGTTGTGCCGTCGCAGGGACGCCCGGGCTGGGACCATCATCTCCCATGAACTCCCCTGTGCCTGGATCGGACTTCGGCGGCGTAGCAACGACGGCCTCCCCTGCAGTGTACGGCGGTAACGGCGCAGACATTGGCCCGAATGTTCCGCCGTGGCCCGGAATGTGCGGAGTAGGACATGCCGAACAAGAGTACATAAAGCAGTCCCTCAGTCCAGCCAGTGCGACTAGCTCTCTCTCACCTAATGCCGTACCTCCAGGTTCACCTTGTACGAGTGACGCTGCAAATTATGCCACGACCGGTTCTGAGCAGGTGTGTCAGAGACTTTTGGCAGGTGAATCTACGGAGTTGCAGCAAGTCAGCGGTAAGCGATAAATTTTTAAAAATTTCTTTATTAATCATTCATTATCAGGAAAAAATGAGTTATACATAATCGAGAGTTTTTCGTACTTAAATAAAAATTAATAAAATAGTAAAGATTTACAGAATTTGAGAAGTACTTCTTATCCTAATTGAAAGATTTCTTTGAATGATTTAATTTTTGTATTTTATGAGTCAGTTTTATTACTTGAATAATTATATTAGTTGAACTATGCATGTAGTATGCATTAAAGATAGATATGGAATCATTAAATAAATAAAGACTGAAGATGGTCCATTCATTTATAAATTTGAATAAATTTAGGAGCAGATGTGTTTAAAAATGTAATGAATTTGATGAATTTCAAATTTCATATCCGTTGGAAAGTAACATTACTTTTCAGTGAGCAATAATTCTTATATATATATATATATATGTTGTGATCTTAAATTCACTTAGTGCGAAATCAAGTTATTCTACTACTTGCGCAATAGCTGCAAAGTAAGTTAATAATAATTTATTTACTAAAGAAATATTGATTATATTATCAATTCGTTTAAAAATGAGAGTGAATCCATAGTCCTATGGATTATATAATTCATTTTTAACAATTTACATTCGAGTTACTTTAAAACAATTTTCGGAATTAAACTTACTAACTATGGATTCACTCTTTTTAGATAATTGTACTAAAATTAATCTTAGGAGATAATATAATCAATATTTCTTTAGTAAATTAATATATATAATATATGACGAAGTAGCATTGAAGTTGAGTGATTTCCTCTTCTGTTATGATTGTTCCTTTAAATTTCTATGATTTTTTCAAGTTAGGGTATTACTTGTTTAAAATTTTTAGTTTTAACATTGATTAAATTCTTTTTTTTTCATTTATTGGATTTTATGAAATTTATTACTTATGAATTTCAAATTTTGGTCTTTGTAAAATTGGTTCTAAATTTCTTACTTAATGTCTCTACTGATATTTTTCAGCAGCTTAATGCACTAAAACATTACATACGATTATATGAGATTTTAAAAAATTGTATTGTACTTATATATGTTATTTTAAAGAAGCGAAAAACTCCTAAAATATTCTGCAAGATAAAACACTGATACTTTTTGGTATAATGGATAGTTAGGGTACCAACGGCAACAAATTCAGAAATTCAAAATGAAATACTCTTAGTTACAGTGATTTTGAAGAGATACGTATGTTCCAAGTTCTTAAAAATTAATTACTAACTTAAGACATATAAAATTTTGGGGGGCGGAGTTCCTCCCCAACCCCTAAGAAAGAAAAGTGTATTTATTCAGATTTTTTTCCTATCTTCCGAATTCGGTTTCTTTTAATTTGTGAGTCATATAAGTAATATCTGAAATAATGTTTTCTAATTTTTGGCGAATTTAATTACTTACCGCCGTACGAATATTTTTGTTATTAGTTGACTTATTATGGTATATTAATTTTAAAAAAATTCTTGAGAAAAATGAAAATAGGAATGGATCCGTACGTTTAACTGTTGCCTTAAAGTAAATTAGTCATAGTTAAGTTTTAAAAGCTGATACTTTCAGCTTTAAAAATAAATTAGGTTGATGCAAATTTTGGTAGCAAAAAAATATATTAGTCATGCAAAAAATATACGCAGAGGGTCCGAAGATGTAAAAATGTTTTCCTTATGTTCAGTGGTTTTTCAGTTTTATTTTGTTATATTTAAAGAAAATTGTACCTTAGTTAATTAATTTTAAATGGCCAGAAATTGTTTATTTTTTACAATGACAGACTAAGCATGTCAAACTAAAACGTAATTAATATATTTTTCAGCTTTGAATTTTATTTAACGGCAAAATTAACAGAAAAATGTCAAGAATCGCTACCATTGCTTAACATAACAAGAAGGAGAACATAGCGAATGCAAAATATGCAATAGATAAAATTCATGCATCATTGGAATGGTGTTGCAGTTATTAAAATATGAATGTGAATGAAAGACACATTTAGGCTAATAATATTAAAGCTATAATAGGGTAATAATTTTAATAATTGGTTTCAATAACTATAAACTGTTATCTTCTTTACAGCATCTGAAGAATATATGTGGGATTTCAAAAACAAAATCTCGGGAGGAGGGTACGGTTAAAATTTAACAATCGGCTACAGTATTTAAAATCAAATTTAAAGTTTTAAGAAACGTGTAAAGAAATCGAGCAATGCAAAGCAGGCTCTGTGAAATTTCATTGAAAAAATATACTGATCGATACAGACTGGATCTTGTCTAAGATAATTAATTACTCACAGTTTTGAATGATTTTTGTCAGCTTAGCGAGGTGATTTACAATGCCTAGTGATCATTTATTACCCTGTCTAATACAGGTTTATTTTAAACGTTTCCGTGTTAAGGCGCACGACTAGATGTCGTAGCAGTCACATATACAAAATTTCAAAGTTATACGGCTAATCGTTCGAGTTACGCGAGAAATATACAGATGTCACGAAAAAAATTCCCTTTTGAATCACCGTTAAGTTAATTTTACAATCCGTTTTGGAAAAACGCAGTCCTTCGTTCTGACCGTATGTTGCTTCGTCCGAATGGATTCGGGAACGGTTAAAATGGATATTTCGGTTGAAATATGATACTTAATTTTTTTCGCAACTACAATACTTCCTTTACTTCCTTGTCGGAAGTAAAAATTGAATTCGTAGTTCTAAAAATCATTTGAACTATTTTTTCAGCGTTATTACGAAATTAAACATCCGTTAATACAGATAATTGTAAACAGCTGGCCTGGAGTTATATTAAAAAAAATAAAACCCTAAAGAAACTGCTTGCAAAGATCAAAGACTTATTTGTGCGTTTATGCCCATTGTTTAGCGTTGATGTTTTTGTAAATGTGATGAAACTTAAGCATTTATTAGCTCAAATGCCCTAATAATTTAAATGCTTTTAATAACTTCTTAAGCATCGTGGTTATGCTTTTGTAATAATGTAGGTAGCGTGAGAAATACTACATTTGATTCTGTGCAGATTATAATTGCCTGCTATTACACAGAAAATGTTGCAAGAATTATACTTCTTGCTTTTATTATCGATACTTTTCCTTAGCAATACAGTGAATTTACAGATGCGAAATTATCTATTAATTTTGAAACTATGATAACGAATTCATAAGCTAAATTATTTTATGCAGTATGTTTGTTTAATTTTTAAACATGGTTTATTAACTGCCTTTTACTTTATTTACAGGTATAATTCTTCTTTTCTTTCTTAATTGTCATAGTTTCCTAATTATTTTACTAAATTTTGATTTTGCTTGTATTTAACAAAATAATTAAATATCCAAATGAGAAAAAATATATTTAATTGCGAAGGCAATATCAATCGGGAATTTCATTTGATGAAACGACATAAATACACCTAGAAATTTCTCTTGGTAGACTGATGCTCCACTTTAACAGTTCATACTTCTACATTACAAGCCGAAGTAAGAATTACGTGTGTTTCTGATACATATTTCAGACATTATTTTCTCAAAACATAAACGCAACTTTTATTATTATCTGAATTTGCATGCAAAGCTTAAAATACTCTTGAAGATTCTACGTATGTTACAATTTATTAAGTTGCATACATCGTTGTGTTCCATTCAAGCACATACAAAAGCGCGGCTTGTCGTACTAGAGAGAAATCCTTTTTTAATTTCGTAGTTCCATTAGATAGTTTCGTATGCATTAAGAAATAAAGAGTGAATTAAGTGAATTTATAAAAAAAAATTTCTCTTATATTACATGTGAGAGAATTTTTTTTATAAATAATAGCAAATACATATGCTTTTGTTTTAATATCGGATTTTTAAGATCCGTTTATTTGGAGCAGGAAATAATTAAATGACTATGTCATGAATAATATTTCATGTTTGCAGAATTGAAGCTGTGAGAGGTACAGTTTTGTTTGTAGAATTGGAATAGGCAAAAATATGAAAAAAACTTTCTAAGAATGCCATCTACGGTAACGCACGATGTTGGTATATTGTCGAAGTGGTCGTGTTAGAGAGATGACGTTGAGTATTTACATATATTCTCAGAAATGCGTGTCATTTTTAGAGATGGTCATCTTAGGAAGGTGATTGTCACGTGACGATTCACCTTTACTGGTGCTGGGTAAGGCTAGGTTAGGTTAATTGATTAAGGCAAATCAACACGAAGGCTATCTTCCAATAGAGAGAGATGCCTTCGAAGAGGATATTTTAAGGACTTGTATTCTCGTTACACATGGGGAAAACCATCCATATAGCCAGCCCATTCGCTAGGATTCGATCCCAGGTCAAACTACTGTTGTTCAGCAAGTTTACCGCTCGGCCGCTGGTGGGATACTAGTGTACAAAATAAATCCGGGTGGTTGGAAGGGTGAAAAAATTTTTTGGTACTGAGCTTATTGACAGACTGCTCCTAATTCACAGGTTTTTTCTTATAAGAGAAGGGTTCTTGTTCTTAAAGTGGTTGGTCAGTGAGGCATTTAATCAAGTAAGGATTTGATGAGGATTGTCAAGAAGTATTGCATCACTGCACCATTCATTAACCACGGTTTATCATTAGAATCTAGAACTCTGGACCGAAAGAAAAAAAAAATATGTAACAAACAAATCCGGAATGAATTCTGAAGAAATGCGGTAGCTCATTAAACGATCGAGACAGCAGATCTGTTGATAGGATAGGACAGTATCAGTTTTCCAATCATGTAATTTTGCTTTGTTGAAGACAGTTAAAACACGGTAACATTTTATGCGTTAATATTTAACCCTAAAAAAGCAGTAGAAAAGAATTATTTTGTTAAGATAATAATTTTTTTACGTTTGCTCCATAAGTTTACAAGCATATATTCCTATATTATATTCAGTCAGTCATCTTAACATAGTTGTTCGCCCACATTCTACCAATATAACAAATAATAAAAAGATTACTTATATAATGTGTCTGTAACATTGAGATGCTTGTTACTTTATGT